TTGCCAATTTCACTGAAAAACAGAAGGGCAAGGAGATGGGGGAAGGAAATGGAAGTTTTGGAGATATCCACATTCACAGAAAAAGAGATGAACCAAGAAAGGAAACATCTGCTAATAATGTACAAAGACATGCTTTTCTGACGTTCAATGCCTGACATTCAGTGCCCTTAAAAAAAATTGGGTTGTGTGTGATTGGGTTGTTCTTGTTTTTATTTTGATTATGTATTCTGTGTTTTTATGTTGTGATTTTATCCTGTGAACTTCCCTGAGGCCTGCGGATATAGGGCGGTATACTAAATAAATAAATAAATAAATAAAGTTAAGGAAGGTGAGGTTAGCTGTGAAAAAAGGCCATTCCCAAATGTGTACAAGTCTATGGAAAAATTGATGGGTGAAGGAATTGTGCTTCACATAGAATCCATCTGTTTGTGGGTGATGTACAGTTCAGGAAAGGTGAAATTAGATTATGTATCTACTTCCTGCATGTCTATTTACAAATCTGATACAAGCATATTTTAAAACTGAATTCCTGTTTTTCACATAGGCATAACACCCACAGGAAATAGGCTTTATATTGCTTTGAATACCACTATGAAAGTGGTTTTAATTTTATCAAGTTGCTATCTCAAAGCACTATGGAAGAAGCAATATTGAACTAAAAGTCCAAATGTCTACCATGAGGTTACATCACACTTACAAGTTTAGGACGTGATTAATCTCATGCAGCAATGAGTTAATAGCTAGTAGCTATAATTTGAAATGCAAAATTACTACAGACCATTTTTAGCCAGACAGTATTCAGATCTGAATACTGGAGAAAATGCACATCGCAAATACATTATTTTATTATCGCCCACAGTACATGTCTCAGAATTTCATCTGAAGCATCTGAAGGTAGTGTTTTAGATGGAATGCTAACCTAATTTGATCTGATGGAACCTCTCCAGGAAACCTGAACTAGGAATTTTTGTAAAGCTGTATACCTGTGGAACAAGTCTGTCACCTGCATCAACTTGATACTATCAGGTTTATGCTTGTTGGAACTTAATGAGATGCTGATACGAAATTGCTGCTCAATAGGTGGCTACTGTTGTTGTAGCAACATCACTTTCTTTTATGGCCAATCATGTGTGACCTGACTTTAAAGGGACTGCAAGTAAGTAGTGTATCTGCTGTTGTCATACTATAATCCAGGAATATAGCCTTGGAAGGACATGTGCATAATTTCTACCCAAATTTTGTGTTTGCAGTGTTATGAAACATCTGCTGAAACTTATTCTAGCAAAGACATTAATAATTTTTAAAATCTTCATATGGGTAACAAGAAGTAAAAATAATGGATCATATCCAACCAGGCTTTCTTTGGAGAAGCAATTGGAATTGCTATGTTCATCAGTTTCAAAGGCTTTATTATGAGGAGGACTAACATTGGCTATAACCCTATGTTTGAAATACTGGGTTGCTAATTGATGCTAGATTCTCAGAATAGTTATTGCTGTGATGGGATGTTTGCTGGTATTTTCCTTATTCCAAACTGTACAGTGTTGTCATGGAAAAATGCTCCTATACCATTATTTTCTGTGGGGATACAGCATGTTGTATAGTGAATAACTATTCACTTAATACAGTGGATAGAGATGCCTTTTCCAACATTTGATATTGTTTTATAGTCCAACACCTAGTCCAACATCTTGATAATATTGTGAGATATGGATTCAGGGGCTGATTTTGCTTTGTGATCTTGCTGAACAAAGGGAAGGACCATTGCCAAATAGTAGACCTCAAATCCTTGATGCCCCAGATTATCAGTTTCCCAGTAGCATGACAGATAAAGATCCTTGTCTAAGACCTTGGAGTTTTGACTTTCTTTCAGAATTAAACAATGCTGTACTAGATGGCCTAGGCTGATTCTGGGTAAGGCAGCTTTCTGTATTCATACTCCATGACCCAGATTACCTGTCACACTAAGGCAAATGGGCAATCGTATGAAGATCACAGCCACTGCACTTCTCCTTTGTCCTTCTGTGCTGTGCTACCCAAGGGCTAAATGATAGTTTGGCTTAGCATTGCATTTGAACCTGAACTTGTTGTTTGTCAAGGCAAACCACAAGGTGTAATCAAAGTTTGCTTTTGGTTTGGGGAAGATAATCCATGAGTCCAGGCTCAGACATAATTCTAAGCTAAACCTCAAGTAGCGCACCAGGCCTTTGGCTGATTAATATTCTACAGCCTTTTAAATGTGTTTGTGGGAGAGCGGGTTATTGTTATGTTTTGCTTTAGTTTTAGCTATCTATCTTGTGAACCACACTGAGAGCTTCGAATGAGGGGCGGTATATAAATTTAATTTTTTAAAAAAATACTTGTTGTTTTTATAAACATAGACTCCCCCATGTTTAGAGTAAAGAGCTTTTATTCATGCATAGGAAAGTGTTTTATTAAGGACAATGTTTTTTAATTTTTTTTATTTTTTATTTTCAAATATCCCAGGGTTCAATTATGTAACTTGTTTTTATCATGAACTACACAGACTTATATGCAAGGGCATAAATTAAACTGTATGATATAATGTCTTCACAATGTCAATAGGCACACAGTGTTGCAGTTGTAAGGACCTGTTTTTGAGCTGTTGTAATTGTGCAAATTGCAAGGGGGCATGCTTTCCCTGCCCCACGTGGTGGTGCTGGAACATAGAATTTGTGCCTTTGTCCAATTACAGTCATTAATCACATGAGCATTGAAAGCCTCTGCAGTGGGCCACAATGTTTGTTCATATCTGTGAAAAATGCTGACATGGCCCCCAGAAAATGGCACCTGCTTATATTTACAGATGGTAGCAGAAAGGTGGAAGGAATAGCAACAGCAACTAGGCTCTGTTCCAAAAACTATGAATGTAATTCTGCTTGCCCACCTGTGAGTGTGTGTGTTCTGGTTTTGTTTAATGTTGGTATGCTCCAATAAGGTTTTACCCTATTCAATGGAACCGCTGGCAAATATTGTACAGCTGGGGGTTGATAAGGATGGTAAGTGCAGAACAAAAAATCTGGGGCAAAACTCCACAAAGATCAAAATGAAAATCAGGGCAAAGTATTTTCTGGAATGTAGGAGAGGGACTTAAAGCACATTCTGTCCTGGAATGGTAACTGGCTGTTCAAAAGGAAAAAAATTGGTGATGGGTTCACGAAAACCCTTGTTCTTCCTAACTAGCTCCAGATTTTCTATGCAGTGCCTCACTTAGAGCTGGCCCACTCCATATTGAGAGCAATATCTTTTAGCAGCAGTAATCTGTTGTAGCAAGTGGCTGGATTTTCCCTTCAATTCATAGTTTTTCAGCTCAAGTGCACAGATGACAGAGCATTGAAGATTCAATTTATATTGAGAAATAAGCCATATAAGAACATAAAGGGCAGAATATGCTTTGAGGTTTTGCAATTCTGGCTCTCATTTAAAATATTTTTAAACCAGTCTCTCAAATTTTTCAGTTTTCCCCTCACAATCTTTTGATCTTTCGCTCGCACTTTTCTTAAGTCAGTCTTGAATGTGAGCTGCTATAGCATTTTGAAAGCTTGAGTTTCTTGTCCAGTTAATTATTTCCAATCTAGTTGTTCACAAACAGATGGAAGCAGGTGTGTCATGACAGAGGTGGTCAGCAGCTTAAGTGTTCAAAACTACATTGGAAATATTCATGATATCCAAGTCTATATTTGCTACATTGCATATTAGAAAGATTTTTTTTTAAAAAGCAACTTATAAGTAGTAGAGCACCTCCTTTCCATGCAGAAGGCTCCAGATTCAGTCTCTGGCATTTGCAGATTAGACTGGGCATGGCCCTTATCTGAACCATGACTCTTGTCTCTGCACTATAATGGCACTGTTTTTAACTTCTACTACCTCTTTTGATGACATAATGTTATATAGGATTGCCATATGTCTGGAATTTCTCGGACATACCTGAAATATTGTATCTGAAAAGAGTGTCTGGGTGGAAATCAGCTAAATGCGCAGGAAAATCTGTATGGCAACCAATGTCGGCAGTGTTGATTTTGCCTATTTTCCTAAGGAAAAGCTCAACAACTTTGCCCAAAAAGCTTTTTAAAATATGGCAACCCTGTGTTATAGTCACCAGTGGTCAAACCCATCTGTAGGTGAGCATAGGATTGTGACTAAATTCAATTCCTTCTCCACTGTGGCTCTGTTGCTGCCTGTTTTTAGGGTTTGTGTAAGCATTGCACTTGTGCCATTATAAGTGTGGTGCTATGTCGTCTCCCTGATGCTGGCATATCTTTGGGCTTCACTGGGATTTGGCCAGCCAGCATGAGTTGAGGATAGGGTTGTGTTGCCAGTTAATTAAGCACAAGCATGAAACATTTTTCAATGTGGGGGGAAAATCTGAGGAAAGAGCTTTATTTCGTGAAGAGTAGTCATCTTGCATGTTCTTAGGAAAAGAGAAGTACTTTCATAGGGTATACTGAGTAATATGCAAACTCAGAGTCTCCTTTTCAGGTTTCGTTCATTTAGGCATTTTGGTTGTGTAAAGTGAAATAACATTGTTATTTTTAACTCAAATAGCTTCTGGGAGCGAGATTAAATTATCATTCCCTCCGTGTCCCATTTTCATAAAATCATAGTGCTAATAGTAGCTGGGAAGGGGAGTTTGTTGGAACCATGGTGGGAAGAAGTATTAACTCATTTCCCACACACTACGGTCCTGCTTCCGCACAGGTGTTCCCGTTTACTTTGTTAAAAGCATGGTAGTTGCTTTCATGCAACAAATGAAACCTCTGGTTTGACCCTAAGAGATTTTCTGCATACTGTATATGCAGAAGCACATTTTCACTTGAACCATAGGCAAGCTTGCACACAAAACACAGTTTCTGGTAATTCTGACAAACTAAGACCTAGAGATGTCATATTTACAGCACACTTGAAGAATTATAGGATCCTAGAATTGGAAGAGATCATGAGAGTCTTCTAGTCCAACCCCCTGTAGTACAGGAATCTTTTACCCAAGGTGAGGCTTGAACCCACAACCCTGAGATTAAGAGTTTAATGCTCTACCAACTAAGTTGGAATGGTCAGCATGAGTAATATAGTTCAGTCCCTTTGCAGTTACACAGAAGTTGCTATTTACTTGGTTAGTGAGATTATCCGTCTCTGAAAGAGTGACCAGCAGTATTTATTTTCAAGACTGGCATTTTGCCATTAAGGGTGGTTCTTCCCTTGATGACTACAGCATCAAGCAGTAACTTATATGATTCAATGAGCATCACGGGTCACATAGCACAGACAGAACTTTTTAATAGTCAGTTCACACATCCCCTGCAGAGAAACATTAAAATATATTCTTTTCCATTGGATTTTCAAATTCCTGTACTTGACAGTTCTTCTTTAACTCTTCTTGCTTTGTAGTCACCAAACCAAATGGATATTCCTCTTTTTCTCACAGCCATGACCTGATATCCTCTCAGCTAAGCTAATCATTACATTTCCCCCTTTTCTCTGGGAGTCAGGGCCTCCCATGACATGGCCCACCCCACCCATAAGGCATGGTGAGACAACTGCCTCAGGCAGCATGATCCACAGGGGCAGCAGATCCTGATGTAGATCTTTATTTCCGCCTTGTTCCTACTGTAGAGCTTCACTCAGCTCTTTTTCCCTGGCAGCTAGGCGGGGGTACATGGTTCGTCTCAGGTGCCAAAATGTCTTGGGCAGGCCATGCCTGATGTGCAGCTGTTTCTCATCCTTACCCTTGCTGTGCTCAGCCCCTCTAGTCTTATTTTGTGCTGTAGAGATCCATTTCCCTTTGATTTGGCTCTTTGCTAGCAGCCTTTATCATAAAGTCATCTATCCTAATTGACTAAAAATGTGCATCAGGTTGGTAAGGGAAGTTCTTCTTTATCTGCGGCTGTACCCTGCAAAATGCTTGCAACTGAATGGATGACTTCTACCATTTTATTGGCTCATGATGACAGTTTTAGAGCACTACGATAATATATAGACTAAACATATAGGCTAAACAGATTACAGCATTTTAGACGAACTATATATGTATAACAGACTTCTATATTCTAAAGGGTCTTTTCATTCTTTAGAAAGCAGCCTGGGGGCTTGGCCACACAAGCTGAATCCCTGATAAAGTTGTTGCCATCTCACAGTAAGTACTCTATAGTTGCGGAGCACACGTTTTCAGGACTAGTGTCTTACAATTTGTAGTAAAGAATAAAAATAAACAAAATCTCTTGTTTTTCACAGCGTGAAAACAACCCGCTCCCCAACAACTGAAACTGTGGCCAAACTTTTGACCATATCTTAATTAAAATCAAAACTATGATTTAGAGACAGTCTTAACTATAGTTTGCAGCTATGTTTGAAGTAAGCAAACGATGGTTAGGCAAGCCAGGAAAGAGAAGGGAACCAGAATTGAGAAGGGAGGAAATCTGTGGCCCCATGGCACATTCCTATTAACTCGTGTGACATCTGAAAGGAACCAGTATGTTTTCCTCTTCACTGGGTTAAATAAACAACAAGGAAAGGTTGCTTGGAGTCCTGCCAGAATCACAGCGCTCTTAACTGATCTGATGTAATGCAAGGCAAGCTCATTTAGCCTTTATGGGCCTGATAAGTGACCCAGCATTAAACCTAGCAAGTGACTTTTGCTTCTACAAATGTTTGTTGCATACACAGATGTAGAGGGTGTAAGTATTATTTACTTTTTATTCATTGGGTTTATATGTCTAAAAGGTTAAGGAGTAACTATGATTCACGTACTGCTGCAAAAGAAATTAGATATTTCTACAATCCAATTTTCTCATGTATCCTAGTAAACCGAGGATGTAAGACCATTTAAATAATGAATACGTATATATGTGTATATACTTGAGAAGACTTTACAAACATGCCGTATTTTTCGCCCTATAGGACGCACATTTTCCCCTACAAAAATGAAGGGGAAATGTGTGTGCATCCTATGGGGCGAATGCAGGCTTTCGCTGAAGCCTGGAGAGGGAGAGGGGTCAGTGCGCACCGACCCCTCTCGCTCTCCAGGCTTCAGGAAGCTAACCGCAAGCCTTGCAAGCCCGGCGGGAGGTCCCGCGGGGTCGCAAGGCTTGCGGGCAGCAGCCTGCAGCCCACAAGCTCGGGGAACAGCAGGGAGGCGCAGTGCCGCCACCCCGCTATTCCCTGACCTGGTCTGGAGGCTGGCGAGGGGGAGAAGCAAGCTTGCTTCTCCCCATCGCCAGCCCCACAAGCTCGGGGGGTAGCGGGGAGGCGGAGCGCCGCCACCCCGCTATTCCCGGACCTGGTCTGGAGGCTGGCGGGGGGGGGAGAAGCAAGCTTGCTCCCCCCCCGCCAGCCCCACAAGCTCGGGGGGTAGCGGGGAGGCGGAGCGCCGCCACCCCGCTATTCCCGGACCTGGTCTGGCGGCTGGCGGGGGGAGAAGCAAGCTTGCTTCTCCCCCATCGCCAGCCCCACAAGCTCGGGGGGTAGCGGGGAGGCGGAGCGCCGCCATCCCGCTATTCCCGGACCTGATCTGGAGGCTGGCGGGGGGGAAGAAGCAAGCTTGCTCCCCCCCCCGCCAGCCCCACAAGCTCAGGGGACAGCGGGGCAAGCCGCTGCCCTACAGAGGCTAGGGAGGCTGTCCCTGAAGGCAGAAGAGGGAGACGGAGTGCTCCGTCTCCCTCTTCTAGCTTGGGGATGACTGCGCAAACCTGGGGGGGGAAATAAAAAAAATTTCCTTGATTTCTCCCCCAAAAAACCAGGTGCGTCCTATGGACCGGTGCGTCCTATAGGGCGAAAAATATAGTAATCAAGTTATATTAGAGTCACTGACCACTAAATGTTAATTATGTTTCCCTATGGTTAGGGGTATGTACACACACACACACACACACACACACACACATGTACACCCCCCCCCCTTTATCTGTTTGAGGAGCACAGATTTTTATTTTTGAGATTAAAATTGTATATCAAAGGTAGACAAATCAGTTGCATTAAAATTGTTGGAAGTAGTACAGGTATTACTTGGGATTTAAAAACACCACCACCACTATAGTCTTATTTCTCTGTATCTTGTATACTTATACAAGTTACAACGTTTTGTAGGATTATTGCAGGACAGATAACTTTCCAAAATAACATCATTACATTTACCTTCTGGAGCAACTGTTCTCTGCCTGTAACTTTGGAGAGAATACAGAAGACCTACTGACAGGGCGGAGAAAATGTGATTCTTTCTGGGCTGTGAAGACATTAGTTCTACTTATCCTTCCGAGTTGCTGCAATGTTTTGTGTCATTTCCTGGTGACAACCCACAACAGATGAAGTCTCTTGTCTATCTGATTGTCTGGCCATCCTTCCATAAAGAGATAATCCTGTGGCTGCATCTGCAGTCCTAGGCTCTTGGATTATGTTGCCCTTCCTTTCTGACATTTGCCAGAGTCTCCACTGGATCAAATCCCTTTCCACTACTGGAAAGTCATTTTTGGATCCAATCCATTGTTTCATAACAACAGTTAATTTGTTTTGTTTTGTAGTTGGCATAATTATGAAACTTGTTGTCAGGGAACTGCCATCGGAAGGAAGGGAGGTGAAAGGACTCAGACAGGTTGGAAGAGATTCAGCAGCTGAAGAGGGAACCAGCAAGGGGAGAGAAGCTGAACTGAGGGAGGTGAAAGGGCTCAGACAGGTTGGAAGAGACTCAGCAGCGGAAGAGGAAACCAGCAGGGAGAGAAGCTGAACTGAGGAAAGGGAGCTGGGGGATGGCTCAGAGATACTTCCAGCGAAAACAGTGGTGAGGTTTCCGGACCTCCTGTAGCGACACCCACTCCTCGCCGGAAACTGTCACGCAGAGAGTCCAGAAGACGTGTTTCCGTTAAGGAGCTTTTATGTTGGAAGCGATTACGAAAGCAACCACTGTCGGAATCTTCTAGTGACTAGAGGAGCCATGTCAGAGGGGCTCAGTCACAGACAGAGGTTTGTGGACTTGAACAAACTCTGAGGGAATACGATTTTACGCACAAGCAGCTCATAATCCCATCACAGCATTCCGACAGTCTTTGACGCAGCTTGTGCAGGAGAAGGCATAATGAGCAACCCAGCAGGAACCGGAGAAGCAGGGGCTGGAGCGGGTCCAAGCCTGGAAGAAAGGTACCGGGTGTTGGAGGTCCAGCTGGCGCTGCAGACGGCGAGGCTGGAGGAGAGGAGGGCTCAAGATGCAGACAAAGGGAGAAAGCCACCCAGCTCGCCAGAAAGGTACCAGGATTGGTGCAGAAATTTGGGGGGGAGCCCAAAGACTATCATAGCTTTCGGACAGAAATGCAATATGCCCTCAATCTGCAGTTTGATGATTTCCCTGATGAGGAATCACGAGTGGCTTTTGTGATTGGGCATCTTGAAAAGGGGCTAGAGACTGGGTGAGACCCCTGATGGCAGCGCATAGTGACGTCCTAAAGGACACGATGAAGTTCTTTCGCGCCATGGATCTGATGTTTTCCAGCGATATTGAAAAGGGAGTGGTGCGCAGACAGTTAATGGCTTGCAAACAGGGGAGCCGATCTGTACGTGAGTACTGGACTGAGTTCACCATGCTGATACACAGATTGGGGTGGGACTTATCGGCGGAACCCATTCAAATGCTCTTTGAAGAAGGGCTTTCTTCGGCTGTGAAAGATGAACTTTCCCGGGCGCCCAGGGCGGAGTCTATGGACCAGCTGACCAAATCAGCGCTGGCCATAGGAGGCGCGCCAGGAGGCGAGAGCATTGGAGGGCGGGAAGGGAAGGGGAACGTTGGAAGGAGTTCCGCATTCCAGACATTCCAGAGCCAACTGTCCCGCCGGCAGAGCCGATGGAAATCGGAACAGCGCGCGCGCCCGCAGATTCAAAGCCCAGTGAGGGGAAAGAAGGATGGAAAAGGCGCCCGGAAATGCTATCTCTGCCAACAGCCAGGGCACTTTGCCAGAGTCTGCCCCCAGAGGAAGGAATGGCAAGGGATGGTGGGAGCTGTGGAGGGAAGAGAGGAAAAATACCGGAGCAACTAAAAGCCAACGCCTGGCTGCCATTGTCGGGGCACAGCAGCCAGGCCAAAGAGCAGTGAAAGTGCCCACTCCAGAACCTCCTAAACCCGCCCTAGTGATAGAAGTGACACTAGAGCTGCCAAACGGACACCCTCTAAAGATAAAGGCGCTGTTGGACTCAGGCAGCTCCTGCAATTTCATGAGCAAAGAGTTTGCAGCTGAACACCAGATACAGACGCTCCCTTTAAGCAACCCCCTGCAGGTAACCACGATCGATGGCAGGGAGCTGTTGGGAGGAGAAGTCAGCTTGCAGACCGTCCCAATGATAATGAAGGTGGCAAGGCACACCGAACTAATAGCATTTAATGTGGCCACCTTGGGAGGAGCTCCCATTATATTGGGGATGAGCTGGCTAGCGTTACATGATCCGCTGGTGGGCTGGCATCAAAGAGTGGTTTCTTTTGGGTCAGCACATTGCTTAGAACATTGCAAAGAGGAAGGGTTTTGGCAGGGGCCCAAGCCACTCTAGCAGGGACTGAAGTGACGGAGAACGTGAAGGTACCACGACAATACGCAGATCTCCGCGACGTCTTCAGCGAAAGGGAAGCTGACCAACTACCACCGCATAGAGCCTTTGACTGTCAAATCAATTTGCTCCCTGGGGCACAGCTCCCTGTGGGCAAGCTGTACGCCATGTCAGACAGAGAGATGCAGGAGCTAAGAGAGTTCATTGACAAGAACCTGAAGAGAGGGTTCATCAGAGAGTCCAGGGCGGTGGGGGCAGCCCAGTGTTTTTGTGGACAAAAAAACACGAACAAGCCGAGACTGGTGTGTGACTTCAGGGCCTTAAATGCAGTGTCAGAACCAGTGGCCTTCCCGATGCCCAGGATTGACGACATTTTGACAAGGGTGCGGAAGGGAAAGATTTTCACCAAGCTGGATCTAAGGGGCGTACAACCTGATACGAATAAGGAAGGGGGATGAATGGAAAACCACCATGTTCACCCCTTTAGGGGCATTTGAATACTTAGTTATGCCCTTCGGTCTACAAGCAGGCTCCGCAACATTTCAATCGTTTATGAACCACGTCCTGGGGCCGTTGCTTTACAAGAATTGTGTGGCCTTCTTAGACGACGTGTTGGTGTATTCTGAGAATGAGGAGCAGCATGTGAGAGACGTCAGAGAAGTGTTGAGCAGGCTGCAAGCCAGCCTGCTGTGGGTGAAACTGGAGAAGTGTCAGTTTCATACCAAGGAGGTGGAATTCCTGGGGTATCGCCTGTCTGACAAGGGGTTGGCCATGGATCCCGACAAGGTCCGGCGGTACTGGAATGGAAAACACCCAAAACAAGGAAGGATGTGCAGAGGTTTTTAGGGTTTGGGAACTTCTATCGTAAGTTCATCCCAAACTTTGCCCACCTGACGGCGCCCATTACGGACTGTCTCAGCAGTAAGAAGAAGTTCGTTTGGACGGAGGAGGCGGAGCAAGCATTTGAGGAACTAAAAGGGCCTTCGCCTCGGAACAACAGCTCCTGCATGTGGATTTACAAAAACCGATGAGAGTGGAAACTGACGCATCAGACAGAGCGGTTGGGGCGGTGCTTCTCCAGCCAGGGAAGGAGGAGTCAGAGTGGAGACCGTGTGCTTTTTCGCGAAAGCTGAACAAATCCGAGAGGAACTACACGGTGTATGACCGAGAACTACTAGCCATTCATGAGGCGTTCCGGAGATGGAGGCACCTGCTAATTGGCGCACAACATAAGGTGCAAGTGTGCACTGACCACAAGAACCTAGAGTATTGGAGGACGGCACGAGTGCTCAACCAACGGCAAGTGAGATGGGCCCAGGAATTCTCCAAATTTAACTTTGAGATTTGTTACGTGCCAGGCCCAGAGAACATTAGGGCGGACGCTCTCTCACGCAAACCTGAATATTGGGAGGAGGGAGCACCCGAAGAGAGACATGTCATTCCAGAGGACCGCTGGGTGTGTGGGGGCGGCATTGGTGGGACAAAGAGAACTGGTAGAAGAAACAGAGAATGATGAATACGCCCAGAATAAGCTCAGAGGTCTTAGGGATGAGGGAGAGGAATCAAGGGGTTTCGAGGAAAGAAATGGAGCTTTGTATTACAAAGGGGCACTGTATATCCCTGAAGGAGACTTAAGGGGGGGGTACTCAAGCAGTTGCATGACAGCCCCACGGCGGGGCATTTTGGGCAACACAAAACCATGTGGTTGGTCACCAGGGAATTTTGGTGGCCTAAGGTGAGGGAGGATGTACGTGAGTATGTAAGAGGGTGCGAGCAGTGCCAGCGAGCCAAAGGGAAAGGCGGGCGCCGGCGGGGCTGTTAGAACCCTTACCAACACCAGAACGACCTTGGGAGGCAGTGTCGATAGATTTTATGACTGATCTGCCGAAGTCCAAAGGGAAAACAGCCATCATGGTGGTGGTAGACCTACTAACAAAGATGTGCCACTTTGTAGCTTGCTCGCATGCAGTCACGGCGGAAGAGACAGCGAAGTTATTTGTAGAACACATTTTTAGGTTGCACGGGGTGCCATTGAGGTG